CCGAAAAAAAAAAAAAAAAAAAAAAAAAGTTAAGAGGTAGCATAACATAGTGGTCTCACACTCTGCATTTGAATTCTGACCAAGACTTAGCTCCATGTATGCACATGTGTGTGTGTATGCCTTTATCTATGTATAAATATATATGCCTATATAAATATTCTCATATATATATATATATACACACACACACACACATGCACACATAACCTTTTTATACATTTATACATATAATGTATATGTATAAAACAACCTTTTAAGCTTCAATTACCTCACTTCTAAAATAGTAATAATAATAGTACCCACTCTACAGGGTTGTTAAAATAATACATATAAAGTATGATGTAAAGTGCTTGGCATATAGTAAGCACTCAGTAAGGTTATAATAAAAAGTAATTTGTTGAGGATTACAACATAAAATCAACATCAGAATTCATGTTCAGGTTTTGAGACTGCTACTGACTATTGGTGTTGCTTTTAATAGGTCAGGGAATAATTCGATTTATCTCAAACATGTTTTTTTAAAAATGCTATTTCATAATGCTCCAGGGTTTGGAAATTAATGGATATTAATTAAATAATGTAAGAACTTCCTTACATTTGTACAGTGTTTTATACTTTGCTAATTATGAGCTGCATACAATCTTACTGAGGTTGATAATAAAGATATTAATAAACCTTTTAAGAGATGAGATTTGTGGCTGGAGAAATACTGATCACACAGCAAGTTGGTAATAGAATTGGGATTATTATAGATGATTCTCTTGACTTACAATTCAGTGTTTTGTTCCTCAGCTGTAGATATACATAAGTAGGACTTTCTACCTTACTAAATAAGAAAAACTCCACTAGGTAACCCAAAGAGAAAATACTCCACACAAAATGTGGCAGAACAACGTTCTTTAAACTGGAAATGAAGTAACTTCATTTTAACTTATACCTTAGAAAGGGAGAAGGGAATACTGATTCCAACTCACCTATTTGTGACATACCAGAAAGCTGCTAAGAGTCCTGATAGCCACGTACCACTCAGGAGCCAGCTGGTTATGTAAAGAGCTGTGACATAAATTGCTTGGAGTCCAAATAAGGTGTAAATATAAAAATAAACTGGCTCTATATATTTCTGTAAGGGAATGATAAAAAAAGTCTGTTAAAGAAGCCCTACTCCTTCTCATTGCCATTTACAAAATATGACAGTGGAAATTTAATATTCAGAAGCTTGGTATTAACTCCAAGAAATAAGTGTACATCACTCCTTCCTGTGTAAAAGTGTGCTAGCAGCCTTTCTTCTCAATACAAAAGCAGAAAAGGAAGTCCTTGAGGATTCTGGCTTCATTTTTTTTTTTAAAGTATTTATTTATTTGGCTGCAGTGGGTCTTAGTTGCGGCACGTGGGATCTTTAGCTGTGGCAAGCAGGATTTTTAGCTGCGGCATGCAGGCTCTTAGTTGCAGCATGCAGGATCTAGTACCCTGACCAGGGATCAAACCCAGGCCCCCTGCATTGGGAGCACGGAGTCCTCACCACTGGACCACCAGGGAAGTCCCTAGTTTCATTCTTTAGACGAGTTTTACACCTAACTTGATCCAATATTACCTTATTCACATGAGAAGCGGTCACTGTGATTTGCTAACTTTCCAGGTTGTTGTTTTTTTATTTCAAAGATAAATGAGGAGTGATCACATGTTTCCAAATGAAAATATTTATCAGCTTCTAGACTGCATACTTATAAGCCTGGAAGCATCTATATGTAAAAATATCTTATAAAATATAAATAAAAAGCAAAATTCACAATACGTATGGAGAAAATTAGGATACTACTCTTTTTATACCAAGCCAGTTGAAGATCAGAAAAACATATGTGAAACATTCAACTTAAAATGTCAGAGTTTGACTTTCATCTAATATTAAATTCAATGTCACAGAACACAACATACCTGTATGGGTAGAACTCTATATAAAATACTGAGAAAAACCTCTTGGTAAATATTCATTCGTTGAAGGAGGTTAATTGTCCTCATAGATTCGGTTTTGTTATCATATATTAAGCCATGAAAACCTAAGATTGATATTTGAAAATTCAGTAAAAGATAATTATAATTAAATTATTCATTTAAAACTATTCATAGATTCTTTAGTATACGCCAGAGAATGTGCTAGGTGTTGGGGATATAATAGTCCTATCTATGAAAAGCATACCATATATTAGATGGACATTATTTAAATGTTTACACAAACATAGGTAAATTATAACTTCTGTGATGTAATAGAACTGTATGATTCTTCTACAGATATTTAGGCAAGAGGATTTTATATTTCCCTGCTCTGCCTTCCTGCCATGAGACCTGTAGTACCTCCTTTGGGAGAGTATATGAAGCCTCCCTCCCACTGCCAGGGATGGGTTTGGCCATTTGACTTGCTTTGACCAATGGCAGGTGAGTGGATGTGACACAGGTCACATCTGAGCAGAATCTTTAAGAGACAATGCATGCTTCCACCAGCAATCTTGCTCTTTC